GCGATGATGACGATAGTGGTGATGAGAGCGATGATGACGATAGTGGTGATGAGAGCGATGATGACGATAGTGGTGATGACAGCAATGATGACGATAGTGGTGATGACAGCAATGATGACGATAGTGGTGATGACAGCAATGATGACGATAGTGGTGATGACAGCGATGATGACGATAGTGGTGATGATAGTGATGATGACGATAGTGGTGATTACAGCGATGATGACGATAGTGGTGATGACAGCGATGATGACGATAGTGTTGATGACAGCGATGATGACGATAGTGGTGATGACAGCGATGATGACGATAGTGGTGATGATAGTGATGATGACGATAGTGGTGATGATAGCGATGATGATGATAGTGGTGATGATAGCGATGATGACAATAGTGTTGATGATAGCGATGATGACGATAGTGATGATGATATTGATGATGACGACAGTGGTGATGATATTGATGATGACGACAGTGGTGATATTGATGATGACGACAGTGGTGATGATAGTGATGATGACGATAGTGGTGATGATAGTGATGATGGTGGTGATGATAGTGATGATGGTGATGGTGGTGATGATAGTGATGATGATAGTGATGATGATGATAGTGATAATGATGATGGTGTTGATGCTAGTGATGATGATGGTGGTGATGCTAGTGATGATGATCGTGGTGATGATAGTGATGATGGTGGTGGTTGGTGGTGATGATAGTGATGATGGTGGTGATTGGTGGTGATGATAGTGATGATGGTGGTGGTGATGATAGTGATGATGGTGGTGGTGGTGATAGTGATGAGAGTGATGATGGTGGTGGTGTTGATGATAGTGATGATGGTGATGATGGTGGTGATGATGGTGATTATGGTGGTGATGATGGTGGTGATGCTGGTGGTGGTGGTGATGATGGTCGTGGTGATGATGGTGGTGGTGGTGATAGTGACGGTGGTGGTGATAGTGACGGTGGTGATAGTGACGGTGGTGATAGTGACGGTGGTGGTGATAATATTGACTGTGGTGGTGATAATAGTGACGGTGGTGGTGATAATAGTGACGGTGGCGGTGATAATAGTGATGGTGGCGGTGATGATTGGTGGTGATGATGGTGGTGGTGATGATAGTGATGAAGGTGGTGATGATAGTCATGATGGTGGTGGTGGTGATAATAGTGATGATGGTGGTGGTGGTGATGATAGTGATGGTGATGATAGTGATGATGGTGGTGGTGGTTATAGTGATGATGGTGGTGATTATAGTGATGATGGTGGTGATAGTGATGATAGTGATGATGGTGGTGGTGGTGGTGTTGATCATGGTGGTGGTGGTGTTGATCATGGTGATGATGATGGTGGTGGTGTTGATGATGGTGATGGTGGTGGTGGTGTTGATGATGGTGATGATGGTGATGATGGTGGTGATGATGATGATGGTGGTGGTGATAATAGACTGTGGTGGTGATTACAGTGATGATGACGATAGTGGTGATGACAGCGATGATGACGATAGTGATGACAGCGATGATGACGATAGTGGTGATGACGATAGTGGTGATTACAGCAATGATGACGATAGTGGTGATGACAGCGATGATGACGATAGTGGTGATGACAGCGATGATGACGATAGTGGTGATGACAGCGATGATGACGATAGTGGTGATGACAGCGATGATGACGATAGTGGTGATGACAGCGATGATGACGATAGTGGTGATGACAGCGATGATGACGATAGTGGTGATGACAGCGATGATGACGATAGTGGTGATGACAGCGATGATGACGATAGTGGTGATGACAGCGATGATGTCGATAGTGGTGATGACAGCGATGATGACGATAGTGGTGATTACAGCGATGATGATGATAGTGGTGATGATAGCGATGATGACGAGTGGTGATGACAGCGATGATGACGATAGTGGTGATGATAGCGATGATGACGATAGTGATGATGATATTGATGATGACGACAGTGGTGATGATATTGATGATGACGACAGTGGTGATATTGATGATGACGACAGTGGTGATGACAGCGATGATGACGATAGTGGTGATGATAGTGATGATGACGATAGTGGTGATGATAGTGATGATGGTGGTGATGATAGTGATGATGATAGTGATGATGGTGATGGTGGTGATGATAGTGATGATGATAGTGATGATGATGATAGTGATAATGATGATGGTGTTGATGCTAGTGATGATGATGGTGGTGATGCTAGTGATGATGATCGTGGTGATGATAGTGATGATGGTGGTGGTTGGTGGTGATGATAGTGATGATGGTGGTGATTGGTGGTGATGATAGTGATGATGGTGGTGGTGATGCTAGTGATGATGATGGTGGTGATGCTAGTGATGATGATCGTGGTGATGATAGTGATGATGGTGGTGGTTGGTGGTGATGATAGTGATGATGGTGGTGATTGGTGGTGATGATAGTGATGATGGTGGTGGTGATGATAGTGATGATGGTGGTGGTGGTGATAGTGATGAGAGTGATGATGGTGGTGGTGTTGATGATAGTGATGATGGTGATGATGGTGGTGATGATGGTGATTATGGTGGTGATGATGGTGGTGATGCTGGTGGTGGTGGTGATGATGGTCGTGGTGATGATGGTGGTGGTGGTGATAGTGACGGTGGTGGTGATAGTGACGGTGGTGGTGGTGATAGTGACGGTGGTGATAGTGACGGTGGTGGTGATAATATTGACTGTGGTGGTGATAATAGTGACGGTGGTGGTGATAATAGTGACGGTGGCGGTGATAATAGTGATGGTGGCGGTGATGATTGGTGGTGATGATGGTGGTGGTGATGATAGTGATGAAGGTGGTGATGATAGTCATGATGGTGGTGGTGGTGGTGATAATAGTGATGATGGTGGTGGTGGTGATGATAGTGATGGTGATGATAGTGATGATGGTGGTGGTTATAGTGATGATGGTGGTGATTATAGTGATGATGGTGGTGATAGTGATGATAGTGATGATGGTGGTGGTGGTGGTGTTGATCATGGTGGTGGTGGTGGTGGTGTTGATCATGGTGATGATGATGGTGGTGGTGTTGATGATGGTGATGGTGGTGTTGATGATGGTGATGATGGTGATGATGATGATGATGGTGGTGGTGATAATAGACTGTGGTGGTGATTACAGTGATGATGACGATAGTGGTGATGACAGCGATGATGACGATAGTGATGACAGCGATGATGACGATAGTGGTGATGACGATAGTGGTGATTACAGCAATGATGACGATAGTGGTGATGACAGCGATGATGACGATAGTGGTGATGACAGCGATGATGACGATAGTGGTGATGACAGCGATGATGACGATAGTGGTGATGACAGCGATGATGACGATAGTGGTGATGACAGCGATGATGACGATAGTGGTGATGACAGCGATGATGACGATAGTGGTGATGACAGCGATGATGACGATAGTGGTGATGACAGCGATGATGACGATAGTGGTGATGACAGCGATGATGTCGATAGTGGTAATGACAGCGATGATGACGATAGTGGTGATTACAGCGATGATGACGATAGTGGTGATGACAGCGATGATGACGAGTGGTGATGACAGCGATGATGACGATAGTGGTGATGACAGGGATGATGACGATAGTGGTGATGACAGCGATGATTACGATAGTGGTGATGACAGCGATGATGACGATAGTGGTGATGATAGCGATGATGACGATAGTGGTGATGATAGCGATGATGACGATAGTGGTGATGATAGCGATGATGACGATAGTGGTGATGATAGCGATGATGACGATAGTGGTGATGATAGCGATGATGACGATAGTGGTGATGATAGCGATGATGACGATAGTGGTGATGATATTGATGATGACGAAAGTGGTGATGATATTGATGATGACGACAGTGGTGATATTGATGATGACGACAGTGGTGATGATAGTGATGATGGTGGTGATGATAGTGATGATGCTAGTGATGATGGTGATGGTGGTGATGATAGTGATGATGATGATAGTGATAATGATGATGGTGGTGATGCTAGTGATGATGATGGTGGTGATGCTAGTGATGATGGTGGTGATGATAGTGATGATGGTGGTGATGATAGTGATGATGGTGGTGATGATAGTGATAATGATGGTGGTGATGATAGTGATAATGATGGTGGTGATGATAGTGATGATGATAGTGATGATGATAGTGATGATGATGATGGTGGTGATGCTAGTGATGATGATGGTGGTGATGCTAGTGATGATGATGGTGGTGATGCTAGTGATGATGATGGTGGTGATGCTAGTGATGATGATGGTGGTGATGCTAGTGATGATGGTGGTGATGCTAGTGATGATGGTGGTGATGATAGTGATAATGATAGTGGTGATGACAGCGATGATGACGATAGTGGTGATGACAGCGATGATGACGATAGTGGTGATGCCAGCGATGATGACGGTAGTGGTGATGACAGCGATGATCACGATAGTGGTGATGATAGTGATGATGGTGGTGATGATAGTGATGATGACGATAGTGGTGATGATAGTGATGATGGTGGTGATGATAGTGATGATGACGATAGTGGTGATGATAGTGATGATGGTGGTGATGATTGTGATGATAGTGATGATGATGGTGGTGATGATAGTGATGATGATGGTGGTGATGATAGTGATGATGATGGTGATGCTAGTGATGATGATGGTGATGCTAGTGATGATGATGGTGATGCTAGTGATGATGATGGTGGTGATGATAGTGATGATGATGGTGGTGATGATAGTGATGATGATGGTGGTGATGATAGTGATAATGATGGTGGTGATGATAGTGATGATGCTGGTGATAATGGTGGTGGTGGTCGTCGGCAGTGGTGGTTGTGCCACACAAGCGCACACGCGAGGTGAGGCTCCCTCAATTGAACATCGCGGCCATGGGGGAAACGAGGTCACGATTCCCAACGCACCCAGTCGCGATACCTGTGGCTCCCTCCTCCTCTTGGCCTCCTCCTCTTGGCCTCCTCCTCCTCCTCTTGGCCTCCTCCTCTTGGCCTCCTCCTCCTCCTCTTGGCCTCCTCCTCCTCCTCTTGGCCTTCTCCTCCTCTTGGGCTCCTCCTCCTCTTGGCCTCCTCCTCCTCCTCTTGGCCTCCTCCTCCTCCTCCTCTTGGGCTCCTCCTCCTCCTCCTCTTGGGCTCCTCCTCCTCTTGGCCTCCTCCTCCTCCTCTTGGCCTCCTCCTCCTCCTCTTGGCCTCCTCCTCTTGGCCTCCTCCTCCTCCTCTTGGCCTCCTCCTCCTCCTCTTGGCCTCCTCCTCCTCCTCTTGGCCTCCTCCTCCTCTTGGCCTCCTCCTCCTCCTCTTGGCGTCCTCCTCCTCTTGGCCTCCTCCTCTTGGCCTCCTCCTCCTCTTGGCCTCCTCGCCTCCTCCTCTTCGTCGCCGCCGTCGCTCGCAACGCGGCCCCGCAGTTTCACTCCCGCGCGGCAGATTCCAGCTCCAGGGTCCGCGGTAAATCTCAGAGGCCGACTCCCCAAGCGTTAAAATGGTTCAAGGGGGTCCGCGGTGAATATCAGAGGCCGACTCATAGAGTTCAATGGTAAGGGGTCCGCGGTGAAACTCTTATTTCAGACAATTTTCCGGGCTAGGGTGCGCAGAGAATGTCAGCGTATGGCTCTAAGGCTTGAGTGCTAGGGTCCGCGGTGAAACTCTGCCTCAGACAGTTTTCCCGGCTAGGGTGCGCGGTCAACGTCAGCTTATGGCTCGCAGATTTGAGTGCTAGGGACCACGGTGAAACTCAGCTCCTCGGTGGTTCGTTTTCGTCTTTCAAGAACCCAGAATCCACACGGGGAATATCAAGCGGGGAACGACGCGCAACGTGGGGACAGGCCAGACGTTGAGGCACCCTCAAAATGATGGGCATCCAGGCTTGCCGCCACGACTATAAAACTACTCAACCAAGACGAAGTTATTATATATTTTAACAGGCAAGGCCCCAACTGTGGCTCCTTTTCAGAAGCGGCCTGGCCATCACAACTTGATGGCAGCTCAAGCGAGCGGCTCATTGTGAGGCTCGCGGACCGTGAGCGCCTCTCTCAAAAGAGACGCGCTCGGAGCACCGTCTCAAGCCCGGCCCGCACTCTCTCAAGAGCACTCGGTCGAAAACCACGCTAACATCTCAGGCAACACGAATAAATAATCACACAAAAAAAACAACAGCGCTCTTGTCCACCACCCAACGAACGGCGTGGGGGTAAATTTTGATTTAAATTTTGATTTTAAAGCTTTCGTGACTGCAGTAAGTCGACTCTCGGGGTCGCCGTCCCAGTCCGAGGAGAGGGTCGTGGCTCGCGGCCTCACCACCTTTGAGCTGCCCAGGAGCAGCCTCTTTGACTCCTGGGATCCGATGCAGTGAAGTGACCGCGAATGCCTGGGGGGCTTGTCGCCTCCCTACTCGGCGGTACTGGAGACATCGAAGGCCCACAGGTTGTGGAAATGTGGAGGCCCTGGGAGGTTCCTCAACAACGGCACACGGTAGATGCAGGGCACGAACCACCACATGTGGATACTATGTTGGCCTAAATACCACTGTCTAAACTCTAAAACACTGAACTTAATGCAATCCCTGTAACCTATCGATACCATTCCCGTGACTCTTTCTGCCTGAATGATTAAAACTACCTAATAACGTTCATTAAGCACTCTGTCTCCGCCTGAAAAAAAAAACATGATCACATTAGCCAATGCTTTACCTTTAAAAAAAAACCTCCTGTGAAATCACTTTATCAAGGCACACCTGTTGACATTTAGAAAACGCCCGACCAGTGAACCAATTCACCTGAAGCCTGCCATATTACCAATGTAAACTAGCTCTCTGCCCTGAACTCTGCGATGTTTGTAAACTTATTTAAGGCTCATGTGTGCCCACCGTAATGACATTAAGATGTTTTTTAAACCCGCTCCTGTGTCTGTGACTACACAATATTTTACCATGTTATTCCCTCCAATGTAAGACTATGATTACTACACTCCCGACCATCACTTATCGGCAACTCAGGGCTCAGCAATCTTGCACAGAGCCGGAGTTATACTTCATGCAACGCTGCAGAAGATGCCATCTTCCACGTGGCATCAGGCCGAATCTCCTGTGCACGCCTCTCTCTCTCGCCCTCACACAGCCCAGTGTCGCGCTCCGAGACTCCAACAGCACAGGCTAGAGAGGGTATAGGTGCCTCAACCACACGTTCCACCATTCTCAACATCACATTTGAGTCGACCTCGTGGCCACCCGCACTGCACACGCCGCGCTGCACCACGCCCATCTCTCCTCTCCTCTGCTTCTCTTCCCTCCTCCTGTCACTCTCGATCGGGGCTCCTCCACTCCTGTGCCTGACACATCTCCCCCTGACACGCAATCCACAGCGCTATACAGAGGGAGGGGTGGAATGAGGGGGGAGCTGTTTGCGAGAGCCGCTACGCACCTCTCCCCACTGATTCCCTCCCAAGACGTTGTGTACATAAACATACAACAAAAACCGCCATTCGCTACAAAGTGGTGGTGACGTCACCACGACGCTTGTGCCAGGCTAGGTGCACGTTAAGGCCACGTGAAATGTCGAACACCCGTTGGCAGGTCACTGGACAGACCCAGGTGCCATGCGTCGACTGGCTATGTTTTAGCAACCAGGCGCTCCACTCGTTCGGACCGTCGCTTCTCTGCCCTCCGTTGTTGCTGGAGGGCGACTGCCTCAAATTGCCCAGTAGCGCCCTTCACGAGCCTCCTCCACAGAGGCCGATCGGCAAGTCCACTCATCTCGACATTCTCTTGTGACACATCACTCCATCTCTTCTCTAGTCCATGCTGCTTTTGTTCAGCCGGATAGAGGGGGCTAAATGCCCATTTAGCCCCTCTATCCGGCTGAACAAAAGCTGTTTAGGCATGCGGTGGCTGGGATATGCAGGCTCCATGACCCAGCCAACGCAGCCTTGCCTGCCGGAGGAGCTCACCGATGGGACTTTGTCCAGATCTTTTACGGATTTGTGAGCTCCTCACAAATCTAGCTAGGTTAAACCCAGGATGGATTGTAGGAAGGCCAGCCTGTTTCTAACTGGCAAAGATGTTATATTAAGAGGGTCCAAGTTTCGCAAGCATAGAGGAGGGAGGGCATGACCTTGGCTGAGAAGACCTGAAGCTTTATGTGGAGCGACAGACCAGGTAGCTTCCACACAGCGTTACGCAGCCGATGACAAGATGATGTTTTTTCGACTAATTCGGAGGAGACCTCTGCTGTCAAACCGAAGGTGGTCATGACCATACTACCCAGGTATGGAAAACTCTCCACTGTCCGCAACTGCTCCATCACCAATTGGGAGTTGTGGGGGTGGAGTGTCTGATGGCACAAATACCCAGGCAGGTGCTTAGTTTTAGTGGAGCTGATGGTAAGCTCCAGGTTCAGCAGCAGCGCCATCTACTCCTCCTCTGAGTGAGCAGCAATTACCCGATCATCAGCATACATAACGTGGTTGACCAATAGGGTGCCATCCCTTGACCGCACCCGGATTGATCAGCTTCGCATTGTATCTGTACCAGATGTAAATTCCTCCGGTTAATCCATCGAATGCTTCACTAGCTACGTGGTCGAAATAGATATTAAATAATGTGCGAGCCACGTGTGTAAATACATACACAAGTTGATGAATGTGTAAATGCACCACAACAGTGAACTACAGGGATGCTAACAGCATCACTGAGTGGACAGAGACCCTCCCCTGGGCGTAGTGAGTGTGATCAGCGGGCAGCCACGATGCTGCCAGTTAAAGGGCAGACTTGTGTGAAGGAATGGTCCATCCATTTTCAGGTGAGTTGATATTTATATCTCCGTACGTATATGCAGTCTGATTGTAACGACTGCCACACTCGTCATGACTATGGCTATTTTCAGCCCCGGTGGTTTCCACGAAGTTGAGTCTTGAACAGTCAACCCAATGGTTTCCACTATGTCGATCTCGAACAGTCGACCCTGATGTCATCCACCTCTGGTCGTCGATTAGTCCCCAAGCAAGCGCCCCGACCGCGGGCCTCACTCCCCCTTATATACTCGTTCGATTCTGCTGCTATCGGACAGTAGGCCCCCCACTTAATTATAACACTTATGACAGTGCCTTCCGGCCACCTGTTTTCAATCATCTCAACGGGCCCTTCCAGGATCTTCTCTTGTACAGCCCCCTACTTTGGGATCTCACAAGTGAATTTTCCCTGGGAACATGGGATTCTTAGCATTGAACTTTTAGGTCAACGCATAACATAGGCTCTTGAAGCAAGGGGGGGGGAGGCGCTGTGACCCAATTTTACTGCTTCGTATCACGGGTATGGTCAACGAAGCTAACCTTTGCATTGGCTACCCTGTTAAGGTTGAACATTACAACATGAAGCAATACAAAACCAATGGTACCCTCACATCTGCTGCAACCCGACAATGTGTGTGTGTGGTTGAATGACACGTTGGTCCCAGCGACGCACTTCCCTGGCACTTTCTCGGATGACTCCGTCGGCCTCCACCATCCTGATGATCCTCATTGTGGTTGTTCCTGAGAAGAGGGGAAGAGAGTGCTGGGGCAGTATTTTCCCGAGGAGGATTCTTTTTTTCCCGGCTTTCGTCATGACACTCCCAAATCTGACCCTTCTGAACTGGAATAACATCTTGTGTCGGTGGTTCCTCATAAGGTTTCAGATGGCTCGGGTGGACCACCCATCGCCAGCATCCCATCTGGATGCTTACACTTTGCGGTCAGAGAATTTGGACAAACTCTACCGGGCCCTGCCAGGGACAGTGCAGTTTAGCTGACATGCCCACCCGGACCTGGGAACAGTGTAACCAGGCCCGATCCGCCTGCTCGAAGGCACTGGTGTTTCTGTCTTTTTTCACAAGCATTCGTTTACTGATTGCGATCTGCTAGACTCCGCTAGCGCAGCTTCGCGAGCATCTCGCAGCTTTTCTAGTGGCAGCCTGAGGGATGCTGGCCACGAAACCGATTTAGCAGGGAAAG